ACGAGATATATAAAAAAGCAGATTTTGCATGCTCTTAAAAATCAACATTATCAATCACACATTGAGAAAATAGCAGTGTTCTCTAGCTACTGCTGTGTGTTGGTTACAAGAAGTAGTTAACTTACTCTGATGAATGCTTCTATTTTTCTTCACTGAAAACAATATTTTCTGCTCCTTGTGCATCATGGCTTACACCACAATACACAAATAGTTCACGTAGTTATAGCAACAAGATTCAATGCCTTTCTTTAACATTTTCAGGACAAAAAAAAAACGGAGAGTCTCAAAAAGAATTACAAAAAAACATTTTTATTGAATCAGATGAACAAAATATCCTCGCATCTTATCCATCAAAATAAAAGTTATTGTATGCTTTTTCAGGAGAAATATAAATATTTTGCATAAAAATTATATACAAAATCCTTAAAAAGTTGCAAAACAAATTTCACCAAAAACCAACATAAAAACGTTATAAAAGGCATGCATATACAAGCAAAAATTTTACTCTTGGAAGAAAAAAAAATCCAAAATATATAAAATGTAGCTAGATGTCTTCTTTCTTTAAAATGTACAGGTTTGGTCTGTCTATCTATAACTTCCTATCTTTAGCGCGCTTCAGAATCAGTGTACTTATCAGCACATCAACTTATGACTCTCATGCCACTGCAGGAAACAGTTCCTAATAGTAGTGAAGCATAAGTGCAACTTTGCTGCTTGCAGCTTCTGCGTCTTTTTGCCTTTTCTGGCTTATGTAGCGTTCGTCTGGTGGAAGGTGCTGGAGGAATGCGAGCTGGCTGGGCACCATCGAGGTTGAAAATTTGACGAATGAGTTTTAATAGGTTTAATGAGTTTTAAGAGGTTTGCTACAAAAAGAATGCCAGGTGGTCATATTCCGCTTTTCTTTGAAGTTCGGGGATCTCTGGGTATGACGCGCCATGTGCTTGAAATAAAATAACTCTTCACACAAGCAATGACAATGCAGCGGCAGAAGAGTCTTCCACCAGCGAACACTTCTCATACAGACGTTTTATAGCCTATCATCTGGTCCGATTTATCTACTCATTGCAGCATTGTACTCGTGTATTAGCAATGGCTACGGTACAGAAATTTGAGCGCAAGTGTTCCCCGTTTTTTTCCTTTCTTTTTGCTGTGACAGTCACATAAGCTGTGTAGATGGTGCTCATACATGACGATCTTGAAGTATAATATACCGCCACCATGGAGCCATCTGACTTCCCCCTGTCACCCTTTTTTCTCCAATCACTGCTTTTTTGTTCACCAGGAAATCCTCGGTGGTCTTTTCTCATCGTACCGCAAGCCAATGTTCTTCGGTCAATCAGGTGGCTGAATGAATGCATCTTGCTAGGAAGCGCAGGCACTATTACAGTAATAGTGCCTGCGCTTCCTAGCAAGATGGATCCTTACCAAATGGCCCGATACAATTGTTTATTGAATAAATGCATCAATGTGTAGAAGTTGTCCATGAATATTGGGTACCCCTGATCAAGATACGAGTTAACTGATGGAACATGGGAGAGGCCTTTGTCCTGCAGTAAACGTAGTCAGGCTGATGATGATGACGAGATACTGTATTTACGCACATAATTTGCGCCCTCGCATAATTTGCACACCCCTTATATTTTGCCAGCTTTTTGGAAAAAAAAATATATTTACACGCATATTTCAAACTCCCCGACTCGCCCGAGCCAGCTCGCTGGCGCGTGCACCTTTGGACATTTTGATGCTTCAGCCAGGTGCGCGCCTCGCCAAGCAGACGAGCGCAGTCAAACAGGCTGCGAGTGCCAAGTTTTTCTTCTGAGGACTTCCCCAAAACTAGGGTCCCTGGAATACCGCACCCGAACACAAACCTGATGACTCGCCGGAACTGCTAGAGCGTCTGCCTCCCCCTATCTCTCAATCTCTTAACACCGTGATAATGACGGCACGGACGACTTTCTGCATCGGAGGCGTGCGGGGGCATGTCACGCCAACTGTTACCCTCGTTATCTGCATTTGTGCTTCAACTCACACTTGCTCGATAGTGGAACTTTAGATTTCGCCATCCGGTCGACGCTTTTTGACGGTTCCCTTGCGATGTGCTACAGTAAATATATACACGGCAAAATTGAAGGGTGCCGCCGCAAAGCACTTCAAGGGTACATACTTCATAATGGAATAATTGGAAGCGCAAACCAACGGGACACAAGAGAAGAAACAAACTGCGCTTGTTTGTCTCCTCTCTTGTGTCCCGTTGGTTTGCTCTTCCAATTATTCCATTATGAATTTGTACCAACTAGCCCACCTGTCAACCCTACTGCGGTACATACTTCAACGTGACCACCGGCGTGATCGGTACGCGAGAAAGCAGAAGAGTGCGCGCACTTTTTTTCGACATTTCGATGCTTCAGCCAGGTACGCGCCTCGCCGAGCAGACGAGCGCAGTCAAACTGGCTACAAGTGCAAAGTCCCTTCTTCCGAGGACTTCCCCCGTACTAGGATACCAGAAATGCAGCGCCCGAAGTTTCCCGACAATGAAGAAGGCCTTTTCAATTATGCGCGGATGCTTAGTTTTTCTGGCATCACCATGTCGTGCGACCTAGTTTCTCTCAGCATTGTTGAAAGCGCTTCGAGAAAATGGAGCGTACAAACGTGCTTAACAGAACCGAGGACAGTGCACTTCCTGAAGGTGGTGGCAGCGGCCACGACGGTGATTCTCAATCAGACTTCACGATCAGTGATTCCCGCTATACCGTGCGTGACCGGATCTGACTGGTTAAAGCACGCGCCAATTATTTTGAAATTTAAAAGTACACTTTGTTTTTGCTCTAATTTATTTCTTCATTTCTTTAAAATGTATATACTACGCGCATTAGGATACTGACACACTACTTCGTATGCGTTCGCGAAATCCCCGCGCGATTTGCGCACCACCCCCTTCTTGGGGCACTAAAATCGTGAAAAAAATGCACAAATTATGCGAGTAAATACAGTACTCTGCACACAGCTGGCAAATATAATCCATGAAATCCTGGCTGATCCCGCTTATCGGTATACAGTAGCATCTCTATGATACGAATTAGAAGAGAGCGTAAAATATTCGTATCAGCCCGAATTCGTGCGAACCAAAAACAACTTTTTTTTTTTTTCGCTCAGGTTTTTTTCGCTCATGCTGCTGGCGCAGCAGCGCCTTCACAGCTGACATCCGAGCGAGCGAAAGCGGCCAAACTCATTAGAAATTTACTCGCTTCCCCGCTTAAGCAGTCAAAAAACCGTGCCACTAAGTTGACACAAAAAAAAAAAAATGAGTCATGGAAAATTCACATAGGAGAATTCAAGCGAAAATGCCAGCGATTCATGAAAAAGCTTCGCCGACACCCGATTCACATGCTCCATTAGCCACCACATGAACCACACGAGCAGCGCTGTGAAATGGCGTCGAGGTATTATTCGTCGTGGAATCAGGCCGCTATAGAATTCTCCGATGTTCCAGAAAAACTTCAGACGTGGCCCCTTGATGAGGCCCATGTAGACTAAAAGGCCAATGAGCATCATTTCAACCACAGCCACTTCTTCCCATGACCCATCCAAATAAGCATGAGTTGGTTTTTCGAGTATATTTGTTTGTGTTTTCGCAAAGTGTAGTGATCACTAGCATAGTGAAAAAAAGAGCGAAATAATCAAGCACCCTCAGAATATATATATATATATATATATATTTTTTTGGTCCACTCCTTAGTGCCACACCCCCGCAATCGGTCATGTATATGCCAGGTGCCTGTAGCGGCGCAAGGACAATCCGCCTCTGCGCTGGGGGCAGTACGTCATTTCTACACGTTGTTGAAACCCCGCCGAACAAAGATGATGCGATAAGAACATGTAGCGACCGCGCAAACTTTCTCAAGAGCAATCTAAACAAAAACCGAAACTAACCTTCGTCCCCTTATTGAGCTTCCAGGCTGATTGCCCCCTGACTCGCCGTCCAAACTGAAATCTGAGCTTCTAAAGTCGCCTTCAGACTCATCGCTGCTTGTTTCGTCAACAAAATCAGCCGTTGAAGCAACGGAATCACGAGATCTGCGTCATTTTTCAAGAGTGCCAAGTCGCGAATTTGACGCCAATCTCATAATCAGCCGACGCGACCACACCCGAGATCAACTGCGATTGTGCACCACCGCCTCTCGGGGAAAAAACGAAACAACCACCCCGGAATGAAAGAGTAGTGTTAGAAACTCTGCGCAGATGGTGCTAGATGTCAAAGTGCAAAAAAATTCGGTTTGAAAGCACACTGAAAGCTATCGGTTGTGTATGACCGATGGCCCTATGGGGCAGTCCCGAAAGTGTTAGGGCTACTCTTTAGGGCCTCCTTCATAATGGTTAAAGGTTCCATTTGGCGGAGCCAATGGAATGTTTTGGTTATAGAACCAAACCTTCATTGAAGACAATATTTTCTGTTCTTTGTGGATCATGGCATACACCCCATTCCACAAATAGTTTATGTAGTTATAGCAACAAGGTTCAGTGCCTCTCTTAGTGTTGAGGCCTTCTTCATAATGGTCAAATTTGAAGGTTCATCAGGCAAAACCAATGGAATGTTTCGGTTACAAATCCATACCTGCATGGCTTAATGTGCAAGTGCACGAATCCCTGACAAATGGTTAAATTACAAGACCTACCCATTGTCTTGTCCTTATTCCCGTACACAATGAACTCTTCCTCAGTATTAACTGCAATTCTTTTTATAGAAAATCTAGTCTGTGAAGTCCTCATTGTACTACATGACTGAACAACTTTACGCTCAATCTGTAGCTAGCTTCTGAGTTCAAATTTATCTCTAGCTAAGGCCCATTCCAAATAATATTGCTTCTACAAGGCTGCAAGATTTGCTTGGATTTTTTTCCCTTGGGTTCAGTTTGACACTCTGGTTGAAATGAGGTTTAAATCTGTTTGCAAGCCCACAATGAGCAGTCACAAGCAGGAAGAAAAGTGGCAAAATGGCGTACCATCACTGCTGCTGGTCCTCCAAGTGGCGGGGTATTGTGGTGGAGAGGCGGCTTGGGAACGGTGGCAAACATGTTGTAGTTGCCCCTGTCATTTATGCCTGGATGAATGAATCGACAGGAAGAACCCCACGTACACTGTCCCTTGTTGAAAAATCGACAGATAGGGCGCGGCGCTTGGGCAGCCTTACGTGTAGCTCCGGTACCTCCACCAGCACCCTCGGGTAGTTCACCTTCTTCCAAGTCATCATCCTGCACCGTCAGCTCTGTCTGTTGGGAGAGACGTGATGTGGCAAGGTGATGACATAGAAGGCAAGAGAATTTTTTTGTATAAGAAAGTCACATGTTGAGATTATTATAAATATTAGATATAATACTTTTATTTCATTTTGCTTATTTTATTAGTCACAAAGTTGAGGAAAGTGTTGGACAAGGATGCACAAAAAGAAGAAAAAAGGAGGTGGGTACAAGAACAATTTGAGTGGAGTAAACGGCTAGAAATAATGAGTATTTCATCGAAGGTTAACCACACCGATGCCAAGCTGAGCAACATCAATGTGGTATATCTGCCGCCTAACACCCCTTTGAAACTGCAGCCATTGGACCAGGACATTATCCGCGCATTTAGGTCTATCAACAAGAATGATGAAGGATGACATAGAGAATGCCTGCCTATTACAAGCTGACCTGGTCGACCACGTCCTGCGATTGCCCTGATCTAACGAGGTCAGGGCAAACCATGGTTTAGGATTAGCGTCTGCACGCTTGGCCTGACTGATGACGCCAATTTGAGGTAGGACGGCCATTTCGATGCAGCGTGGTGCAATTTAAGCCGATTTCACCATTTTAGTGCAGCTCGGCGCAAAAATGGGGATTTATATCAAATCGGCGCTATTGGCGCAGCTGTTGCACCCCTGCAACTTCACAAGACACATAACAAGCAACATCATGGCTTGATAACAACACTTCTTTCATGCTCTCATGTAGGCATTTGCAAGAGCCATTAGAGAGCATGCTTTCGCATGACCTTGAGCACTTCCACTATGAAAGTCACCAGGCTTCACTCTTGTTATTTTCCATGATCTCAAGAATATTTTCTGGACATAACAGTTTGCAATGAATAAGATTTTACTAACATACAATAAAGCTGAATAAGGAACTTTTCAGAAACTTTCAACGGAAGAAAACTTTCAACGGAAGAATTCGATAGACTGAGCAGCGCTTTGTATGTGTTAAAACAAAACAAAAAAAAAAATTTGTCTTAACCTGAGTCAGCTCAAACACCAAAGACTTCTAGTAAATGAAAGGGTGATTCAAATCCAAGAATGCACCTTTATAGAAATGTTCACGCCTGCGCTGGCTTATGCTAACTCTCTTTGTGTACAATGGAGGTGGATGATGTCCAACAACCAGGCCTTAGTTGACTAACAAAAATTTGTCAAAGTTTATTGAATCTATCATCTACACAATTGACATCCCAGGAAGTTAATAGAGTTTGTGCTATCATGTCTTTTAACTTCAATGAAAGACACCGAGCTTTTTAATTTTTTTAGGGTGGGGGGCTGTCATATGATGCGATGCAAGATCTTCGATCGTACTTATGACAAGAGCACAATCAATCAGCCAACTTTTTAATTAAAATGAAGTTAAAGATGACAGTTTGTAAACTATTACATTGGCAGCCCATACTGAGGACATGTTGAGAAATTATCACGTTTGTGCACCCCCATATGCAAGTAAATACAGCATTCAAAACAAAGAGGAATAAAATATATACAGTCGAGCCCACATATAACAGCCCCACTTAAAACGAACTTTCACTTAAAACGAACAATATCCGAGTGACCGTCAAAATGTACATTGGTTCAATGGCCCGAAATCACACTTACAACGAACGTCTCCAAGCGACGCTGGTCGGTTACAGCGAACGGAGTCCGCGGTCTGCCGACTTCCCGGGAAACCAATTTCGACCACCGATCAGGCATCGGCGAACTGCCTATACATTCTTATTGTTAAACGCCAACCCTGCCTCCGCGACCCTCTAGTTGCCGCTCTCCCCAACCTATGGAGGAAGGAAAGCTGTTACCTTCCTTCATGCCGCGAATACTTCTTGTTAGGCACCCCCCTCTGTCCTTTGTCCCCCCTACTACTCTGAGCACCCCGCATGGCCAGACGAGGCCTGTGTTTTCACATTGCCACCGATTTTTCGAAGACCGGTCGACCATCTACCCTATTTTTGATCGCTGGCACTGTCGTTGGCGTCGCCGGCCTGGAGTGACCAGACCATTTACCAACATCGTCGGCCACCGACTGTATACGATATTCGACGTCTAATGCACGCACGTACGCTACCCCACCAGCTCGATTGCGATTCGTTTCGTGCTTAGGAATTTTTTCTCGCTCACTTCGCCTTCAACTCAGCATGCCTTCCGTGCGCGTGCGGAAGCGCGAAATCGGCAGTTAATTTGTGCGGAACGAATTGCGAAACATCGAAGTTCGTGAGGCCACGCCAACCCGCCGGCGCAACAAAACGATTTTTCACCACGGACGCCGATTATTCGAACACCGCCGCGCACAGGCACTCTTTCCAAGTCTTTTTAAATATGAGTTTCGCGGACCTTTAAAGCAAGCTACCCAACGTGCCTCCTTCCCGTGTGTTTTGGTTTTCAAGGTCGCCCTCCCGCCGCATCCTTCCCCTCTTTATCGGAACTCCTTGCCCTTCTCTCACAAGTCTGCTCTCCTCTCTTGATCACAAACCCCTTCGCCCGTCTCCACCACTCCGCGACGCCCGCCACGCTGGCTCGAACGTTTTCTGACTGGAAACGGGCCCAAAGCTTTTCCACACGTTCTGGCATGTGTGTCGCGTGTGCGCGTCTTGCTCGCTCTTGGTGTGCGTGTGTGGTCATGATGGCCAACGGGAGGACTAGCACGCTTTTTCCTGCCGCTCAACAAAACGTCGAAAGTGTGACCGCTTGGCTTGAGCGTAATCCGCGCGTCAGGTGCCGCGTTGCCGAGCGCCTGCTCATAGCTGTTGACCACCTTCGGGCTTCCCTGTATTCAGCTTAGCGTGGAGATGGTGATATTTCGTGGGCGGCGGTGACGGCTACATGCGGGCGAAACTGTTTTCGCGAGGCCGACTTCGTCGATCTCGGGCCCGATGCCGAGCCAGAAGCTTTCGAACTGCGGCGGCAATTTGTCGCAGCGCGTCGTCGACTCCGACCTGGGAGAGCGGGTGGGACATCTGTTGCGGTGCTTTAATTACGGCCGGCAATGCAAAACCATGCACGGATTGGGGCATTGTGAATGAAGTACGTGGCGAGAGCGATTTGGAGGAATCGGATAGCGAGAACGATGAAACTTCGGAGCCAGTGCCTCATGCAGCTTATGCCACGGGCCTCGGCAAACGAGCACCCTGCCGTTTTAAATGAACTCGAGACCGCCCTTATTGCTTCTGCTCTTCGAAACACGTGCATCACAGACTTTTTGGGGCATAAAAAGTTTGCGTTTTCACTCGCAACTTTTTTAAAAGCTGCGTTTCATTTACTACGAACTTCGGGATACAGCAAACGGATGCCGCATCACGCTCAGGTTCGTTATAAGCGGGCTCGACTGTATATAAAAACAAAAATATAACCTACTTTGCCCATAGAACTTAGTATATGATAAATTTCAATAATAATAATAATAATAATAATAATAATAATAATAATAATAATAATAATAATAATGGAAAGAAAACTCACACCACTGACATCAGACACTTCGTCATCATCTTCAGCCTCTCCCTCTTCTAAGTCTGCCTGAAAAACAAAACAAGTAAAAAAATAAATAGTAAACTTGCTTATACAGATAAACCTGCCTACATTGAACCTCTGTACAACGAATTCTACATATTACAAGTTTTTAAATTCCCCATTGTTACTCCATTAAACACATATTCATACTTGACAAGTTCAAGGATTCTGAACCCGGGAGATTTCTGCAATAGGGTGGTGGGGCTGCACTGAATTATTTGCCCCCCCCCCATTTTTTTTTTTTGGCACCAATAAAAACAAAGAAAAACATCGCGGAAAACTAGCGCAAAAAACCATCATAGAAAAACGCGATGATGTTACCCACCACCCCGCATGCAGCTAGAAAGGTCTCAGGCATCTGCAGACTGACACATTTGAGAATCCCCGACACCTGCATAGACTGTGTCGCTCGTTCCACCCGTCACCCGGCTGTCCATGGTGTGGGCACGAGACAGCCGACATGGCGCATATACTTCAAAAGTGTGAGTGCGGTGTTCCCCGCCACTACTCGGACGAGCGTGAGTGTACCCCAGGACGATTGGCTTAGCGGTGGCAAGCCGTCCTTCTCAGCCCACGTGCAGTGGACCAAATCTGGGCTGTCCAGCGAGCCAGGGCTATCGCCGAGGACATCGCACGATGCTCCGCGGACGACAGCTCTTGGAGGCCTAGCCCGGGCCAGTAATTCCTCGTTGGATCCTTAATATAAAGCTTATTACCTACCTACCATCGGAGTTATAGTCTTACAGTGGCTTAGTGGCCGAACACACTAGGGTAGGGTTTCCCACTAAGGTTAGAGTGTCAAAGGGGAGTGCAAATCCTCCCAAAATTTTGCGTCATCAAACAACTAGCCAAATCTGTCTCCATCAAAACAACTCGCATATGCTATTCTGAGACCCACATCAACGGGCAGGACGGCGCAGCAGGCTGCCGCGAAAACGCAAGTCAAAGCTTGGCAAAGCTTTGCTCTCTACTAGATTCTTTGGACAGAAATGCCAAAACCCCTGTAGCCTTTTTTACGTCTTTACTAATTTAGACATACCGCTGAGTTAGCGGCGTGACCTCTGAGCACGTAGATCGTTATCACGTCGCCGCGACCGCGGTTTTGTGTGCGACAGTTGCGGCAAATGGTAGTTCCGTTTTTAATCTGCGTGCGCTTGCTGCACACGTGCCTTCAAAACTAAGTTGTTTTATGCTATGATTGCATCTGCTGCTGTTTCGTCCACAGAGTTTGCAAAAAGCAGTGTTGCTTTGACTAGTCGAGTGTTGGACGTGCCCACACTTTCAGAGTTCTGTCAGTAATGTGGTCTCCATACCAAACACACTGTAGAAGACATTGCGTGCACTGGTCCCACGCGTACTTCCGAAGCTTCGAGTACGCTACTTTCGGCCTTCGTTTGATGGCCTTCTGTACTAAACTTCATATCATACGCCGCCATTAGGAAAAGTGTTCAAAACATTCGAATTTTGACCAAATGGGTGCAGGGAAATTTGGCTGGGGAATTTCACAAATTCCTATCTATCTGCCGCAGTTTTCCATCATTGAGATGCTACTGTACATTTAGATGAACGTCACTTAAACTCGTTTATAATAAAATGCCCTGGATTCGCAAAAAGCCAGGAGTGGATCGACCTGCATTTTACATGCGCGGCTCCATAGTTGTTCGCCGCCGCCAGTATATATAACCACTATCGCATAAAATAATAAAAAAAAAACAAATAAAAAACTTGGGTCCACTGCACGACAGCCCAATATTCTACTGCTGAGCCATGCCAATCATTGAGACTCATTGAAAAACTTGCTTTAGGCAGGCTTGATGTCATGAAAAGAATCACGTTAACATGAGTAATAAAGCGTTTTAGAACAGCAAAGGAAAACCCAGGCGTCACGCCATGCAAATTTCGTAAAGAGTTGGTTATCCAAGGCTCCAACCCATTACAAAAGCTTGTTCTTCATCATCTAATAACTGACACATGCCTACTTCAGGCATAATTCTTCATTGTCATCAGCCACTGCATGAAACACAAAATTCACAAAAAATTTGTTGCAAGTGTTTAGCGGATACCACCCTTCCTAGAAGAATGACGAAGGATGGCACAGTGAATGCCTGCCTATTACACTATGATTAATGGCCTAGTGGGTACTCTGGAAGAGTGCTTTGAGCAGCTACCAAAAGAGTGTGAAAAAAAAAAAAGGCTCTTGAAGGCTGCTCTTCTAGCTTTCGCTGTGACAGTGCTTCAGCACAAGCCTGGTGATCAGATCACGTACATAAATTTCGATTTCCTGGATATTTTCATGACAATACAACAGAAGAAACGATCGAAATCCGGGAGTCCCCCGGACACTCCGGGAGACTTGGCCGGTCTGCATATTTTCAAGTTCTACGTAATAAAGTAAAAGCAAGAGGCACCCTTGATGTAACTACCATATATAATCGTATAATGAATGCACTGTTTTCCCCAGAAAAAAAATCAAAGCAAAGATGTTGGGTGCATTCATTATACAGGAAAAATTTTACGAAAAAAAAAAGCGGTGATGCAAAAAAAAAGAAAAAAAGGTGAGATCCTTTTGCAACTTACGCATACAACGTTCCGAAACAGCTTCTTTATTGCATTTCACTCATCTTCGGTGGTTGATGGCACTATTTTCTGCAAGCTGTCCCATGCACTACATCCGTTAAAGCATTTTGCCATGATATTTTTTTTTCCACAATCAATCCTTTAACCACGACAGTGGTATCTGCCATGGCCACTGAATGAAAGAGCGCACGGGTACGGCCCGCCGCGTGCTCCAAAACTGGCGTCACAGGTCTAGTTCCCGAACCATCGCTGCGGCGCCACCAGGAGAGGGGGACAGTTTCCGCGAGTGCCCACGGAATCGCATGCACGGCCCCCTTGTGGTAGTTACAATGGAGTGCGTGCATCTATGTGCGACCTGCGAAAACTTTTAATATCCGTCTAGCGTGCGCCCACAAGGTGATTACCGATTTTGCTTTTACATAGCTGCAGCCCTTGCAAATTTTCGGTATTGTCTTGCCCGAGATGCATGGAGCTTTACACATTGATCACGTTTCGCGGAAGTAGGATTTGTGAGCTTATTTTACTTGGACCTTACAAGATCACAACTAACTGATCCTAATGCATCAAAATTCATTATAGTAAATGTCAGTATGTCACTTCAGGAAACGTTGCTTCAGATTTAATCATTAGGTTTAGAATAAGCAACTTCAGTAATTGCAGTTGCCACCATTCATTTAACACAAATTAAGATAGACTTTTTACTTTCTCCAAGCACGTCTATAGTATTCATACAATACAGTACCAGTCAGATGAAACAGCCACGAAATATACTTGGCATGTGTGCGATCTCATAACAATGGACTCGAGCCTCTTTGAAATTTCAGTGACTGTAACTTCAGTGCTGGCAATCGTGAGAGCAGCTATGAAGTGAATAATATAAAAACTGTGAGACCAAAAGAGCGATGAAAGGCTGTAAATGCGAACACAACTGTTTGCGTTCCTGCGATTTTGGATGTTTTTTTCTATTTCAGTCGCAACGTTTTTAATGATAATGCAACTTATTCAACCTTACATTCAACTGTGAACACATAATCGGAACAAATTGCTTGAAAATATTTTATTTATTCTCAAATTCGGGCTGACCCTGGCATTTTTTTTTACTTTATTACACCTTTGCGTAGCAAACCAGTCGAAAATTGCTTCACAGCTAGGTAGGCAATCATTTTCAGAAAGAATATCCGAGGGAGTGCATAGTAGTTGGCGACACTCACTCGCACACACACACAAAAAAAAAGGTGCCCCGTTCCACGGCGGAGAAGCACATGTTTACGTTCACTGCCCCACAACCGCTGGCTGCAAACGTTGTTGCATCCAGGAGTTTTGACACCACCTTCCGATTTTCTCTTACCTCGTTTTTTTTTTTTTTTTTAATCAACGGCTTGTCTCTAGTTTCCTTCTACAGTCAAATCTCGTTACTACAAACACCGAATTAACGATTTTTTCAGATTTACGAATATTTTGAAAATCTCGCCAGATTGCCTATATATTTTCAATGTAAAAATATTTCAGAACAACGAATTTCAGTACAATGTATATTTCAGAATAATGTGCATAATTTATTTGCTCGCCTATACGCAAGAAACATCAGTATTACGAATTTAGTTAAAAGTAGCAGCACCGCAACTCTCACGTAGCGCAGTAGCCGCTGTTTTTTTCCATGCACGGAAGCTATCATCATCACCGTGTTGAGAGCCGACTGCTAGCGCCACCACACAGGTATGGTTTGATGTGTGGCAGCTTAGCAGGCCTAGCCTCGTTGCATCGTCTTTCGTCATGAGTCCTTCGTGCCACGCACGTGTGAAGTCTGCTGCGTTTTGTTGTCGTTCTTTTTTTCTTAGCTTTCTGCAAAGTGTTTGGAGACCCGACGATGAATGCACCAGGTGACAGTGCTAAGAAGAGGCGAAAGGAGTTTTCCCTGCAAGAAAAGGTGGATTTGTTGAGGGAACTTGACTCGGGCAAAAAGCAAATCGACCTCTGCAGGGAGCGTGGCATTGCCCCGTCGACTGTCGCGACCATTTGGAAAGACAGAGAAAAGATTCTGAAGCTTCACCGAGAGTCACAACTTGCACCTACGAGGAAACGGTTGCGCCTGGGAAATTTTCAAGATGTCGACCAAGCTGTGCTGACCTGGTTTAAAGATGCCGGGCTGCAAAACATCCCAGTGTCTGGCCCAATGCTTCAAGAAAAAGCCCGCGAGTTCGCCGACACACTTGAAGTAACTGGGTTTGATGCAAGTGCGGGTTGGCTTTTTCGTTTTCGCCAGAGAAACGGCATAACCTGGCAGGTAGTCTCAGGTGAAGAAAAGGCTGCGGACAAAGAGGGTGCAGATTCCTGGCGGAACGATCGTTTCCGAGAGGTGGCAGAATCGTACTCCGAAGACGACATTTTCAACGCGGACGAGACCGCGTGCTTCTACCAGCTCTTGCCAG